TGGCCGCCGCTTCACCTCGTCTCGCGTCTGTACTGCTAGCCCCTGAGGGAGACCCGGATGCACCAGACATCCCGACTCCGCGCTCTTACGCGGAGGCGATAGAGGGTCCCTACTCCTCTCAGTGGCAGGCAGCTATGGATGCAGAGATGGCTTCCTGGAAGTCCACAGGCACCTACGTTGACGCTGTTCCCCCTCCTGGGGCGAACATCGTCAGTGGCATGTGGATTTTCAGGGTGAAGCGGCCGCCGGGTTCTCCACCTGTCTTCAAGGCGCGTTACGTGGCTCGTGGCTTCAGTCAGCGGCAGGGGGTTGACTACTTTCAGACCTTCTCCCCCACCCCGAAGATGACCACTCTTCGGGTTCTGCTACACGTTGCTGCTCACCGTGACTACGAGCTGCACTCTCTCGACTTCAGCACAGCTTTCTTGCAGGGCAGCCTGCACGAGGAGATCTGGCTGCGTCGCCCACCTGGCTTCACTGGGTCTTTCCCTCCTGGTACCCAGTGGAGTCTCCGGCGTCCAGTCTACGGTCTCCGCCAGGCGCCACGTGAGTGGCACGACACACTGAGGACTACGCTGGCGGCACTTGGGTTTGCTCCTTCCACTGCCGACCCGTCGCTGTTTCTGCGCACCGACACCTCTCTGCCGCCGTTCTACATCCTCGTGTACGTCGACGACTTGGTCTTTGCCACAGCTGACACTGCTGGACTCGCCTACGTGAAGTCCGAGCTGCAGAAGAGACACACGTGCACTGACCTGGGTGAACTGCGCAGCTACCTTGGCTTGCAGATCACCCGGGACAGAGCACGCCGCACCATTACCCTGACTCAGTCACACATGGTGCAGCAGGTCCTTCAGCGCTTCGGCTTCACGTACTCCTCGCCTCAGGCCACTCCTCTGCCTACTCGCCACTCGCTCTCAGCTCTGCCTTCGGATGAGTCCGTAGAGTCGAGTGGCCCGTTTGCAGAGCTTGTTGGCTGCCTCATGTACCTGATGACCTGCACACGACCTGACCTCGCATACCCTCTTAGCATTCTCGCACGCTATGTTGCTCCTGGGAGACACCGACCAGAGCACATGGCTGCAGCGAAGAGGGTGTTGCGCTACTTGTGCAGTACGTCGGGCATGGGGCTAGTGCTTGGAGGGCGCAGTCCAGTGGTCCTCACTGGGCACGCAGACGCTTCTTGGGCTGACGACCAGGCTACGCAGCGGTCGTCACAGGGTTACACCTTCAGCCTTGGTTCCGGCTCTGTCTCGTGGCGGGCTACCCGCTCGTCTTCTGTTCTCGGCTCCAGTTGTGAGGCTGAGATCTACGCTGGGGCTATGGCTGCACAGGAGTTACGCTGGCTCACCTACCTGCTGACCGACCTTGGAGAGCAGCCTCGTTCTCCTCCAGTCCTGTACGTAGACAACAAGGCCATGCTGGCCTTGTGTCGAGAGCAGCGACTGGAGCACAGAACGAAGCACATTGCTCTTCGTTACTTTCTTGCTCGTGAGCTACAGCAGCGTGGACAGCTGCGACTTGCGTACGTGGCCTCTGAGGCCAACACTGCTGATGTCTTCACCAAGGCACTTGCGCCTTGTGATCATCAGCGTTGCTGCACGCAGTTGGGTCTTGTGCCTGTCTTGCCTCACTTGCTCTCCTCTTGACCTTGCTTGTACTTTCGCATATATATACTCTTGTTTTTTGTATATCTCTATATATGATCTTGCATGTGAACTGGCCTTGTGGCCTTTGAACTTGTGCTCGGAATGCGTGGTGACTTTGTGATCCACCCTGAGCTTTGCTTTGCTTTGCTTGACTGGTCTTGTGACCCCTTGTTCTCCCCCACTTTGCCTATGGGGGTGTGTCAGAACTTATAGCTTACTTGTTTCTGTAGGCTATAGTGGGGTATCCCATAGGGGGTACAACCCAATTAGGGTTTCCTATTTGTACTCACTTCGTTCATAGTCATTCCATTCTCGTTCTTTGTTTCCACACCATCATCAGCTCGAACTCGAACGACCAGGTGAAGAAGTCCTTTCCGTCGAAAGGCTTTGTCGTTTGCAGCTTTAGGACATGCGCGAATTGCGATTGAACTTGTAATGCGTGAAGTCCTCTTTCTTGTCCCGGTGCAGATTGCGGTTGCGGCATGAAGCTGACGGAGCCACGCTGGGGCTCGTACGGCGCAAAGGTAGGCTGCTGTTGTTGTTGTTGAATTCCGCGTGCGTAGGATGAGCCGTCGAGACTCATAGGAGTCACGTTGTTGTTGTTGCTGTTGTTTGACTGCGCAGGCACTCCTTGCTGGTGCTGCTCGTAGAAGGACATGAAGGAGAAGAACTTCTCCATCATGCTTGGATCGAAGCCTGCGGGCGTTTCCGTGGACCCAGCTGCTGGTCTCGTGGTAGTCCCTTCCTCTGTTTGTAGGCCAGAGACAGGAGGTGGAGTAGGAGTAGTGCCTGGAGAACCGTTGGAGGAGCTCCTCTCCTTCCTAGTAGACATGTCTTCTTGTATTTGAGTGTTAAAGGAAAATAACTTGTAAACTCTAACTGCTCTCATACCATGTTGGGCTGAGCTGCCCTAGGATCTTTGTAGAGTTTAAGGTCTGAGTAGGATTGTAATAGCGGAAGTGTTGAATGAGAAGGTCCTTGAACCACCTTGCGCTGGTATGTGAGGGCAAAGTAAGTTGATTAAAACAAGCAAATACAAAGGTTTATATAAGAGTACAAGGAATACGAATAGATATAATTAAACTGTTTTGCTGTTGCGATTCGATACAGTGCGACTCGGGCAACTGCTCAATGTCGAGTCAGTTGTGTGTCCTTGCTGTCGCGCTGTATTTGTCAAGTCAAAGGTCGCTGACCTTTGACCTTCGTGTAACCTCCAGCGGTTACCTCAACCTCCGAGGGTTGACTCGCGATGCTTCGATTTGGACTGCTTCGCTTGTGTCTTGAGTTTCGACACGACAGAGGCGCTTTAAGACTTATTATTCCCAAGAGCGTAGGCCGACACGGCCGGGCCAGCAGTGCGAGGTTTGGCAAAACAGTGCGCGCGAAGTTGGCGAAGTCCCGTTAGCAGTAACGGGCGAACAACGGCTGTTGCTGTACGCGATGTAGTTGGGCTCCGTAAGGAATGCCGAGAAAATACCTTACACTATTCTATGCTGCATCTTGTATCCACTAGTGCCAGTATTTGCTATTGCGACGAAAGGGCTCGCGTCGCGTCGTGTTGAAGCAAACGGGTTTGCAGCATCTTCCAGTGGCGGCGATGACTGGCGGGCAGGGAAACGAGGCAAATTTTGCATCCTCCTTGCCACGAAACTCGCACCGCACCCCGAATTAGGCAATTGTTTGACATTTCGCTGCGGGCGCGGCTCGGTCGGTGAGTCTGCCCGGTTTACTCGTCCCCCTTCATACTTCACTGCTTCGTCCTGCTCCTTCATGCCCTCCTACTTCGGCTCCTCATTAACCTTCGTTACAATCACAGACATTATCTGTACCCTCCCCTCTTCCCACTTGCTTTCATCCGTTTCGCGTTATCCCCAACTTCGCTACCAGGGCGCGGCTCATACCTTCACCGCTTTCTTGCTCAACTACTATCAGAAATGGGAGGTGCGCTTTTGAGTTGAGCCGTGTCATCTTCATCATCACACGTTCACCCTTCCATGACCAACCACGCCACGAGTCTTCGAACCTGTTCTTTTCCCACACGAAGTTACAACGCCCGTGTCAGGGGCACATGGAGTTTAGAATGTGAGCAGCTCGCTAGTTCTTAGCACTTGGAAATAACAATTCCATCGACCGTCAGCAAGGCAGAAGCAGCAGCACCACTCGAACAGATACGATACGAGGTTGTTCAATTAGCCCCTCGGCACGAGCTAGGTCACTCTAATCTGTCCGGCTCTTTTTTACTCGCTTCCCCAATGTACGGTACATCACTTTCGAGATTTCTCAAAGGTAGCTAGCTGCTGCCACTCTCGATCCCCCGCTGTGCGCCACTTTCGAGATCACCATGGCCAGGCCACCCTTCCCCCTCGTGTATGCGAATTTTGAGGCGTCTCAAATGATTTCTCAAATTTCCCCCTCGTCTCAAATGATTTCTCAGAGGTAGCTAGCTGCTGGCGCTCTCGATCCCTGCTGTGCATTACCATGGCCACCCGTCTCCCCCCTCGTGTATACGACAGCTGCTCTATTCCTGTGAGCCAACCGCGCGACTGTAGCACGCGTGCTCATAGCATCCTTGCTTGTAGTACGCGTGCGTATAGCACGCGTGGCTACAGCCCTGGCGCGCGACGCGGGGCCTCACACTGTTTCTCAGTGTACAGTACGGCATCCGCCCGTTGTAAGACTCCCGTTCGCTATGATACATCTGTTTGCTCGTCTCGCGTCGTTTCCACCCGTACGCGGAGGTTACATCGACTATTCTTGTTTTGGACCTGGAGCCTCGCTGTACTGTCACTCGTTACTCTCACACCGCATGGCAGCGACGTTCGTTCGTTTGTCGCAACCGCGTCGCCAGAAGCGACAATCTCCCAACAGACGACCCGCTTAGAAAAGCGACAGCAGCAGCAACTTCAAGAGCAGGAGCAGGAGCTGGTGCGTGTCCCTCCCTTGTTCCGCCTCGATCGCTTCTTCGGTTCCGCCTCGGACAGCATTTGGAAAACGCCGGGCGGAAGCGCAAGCGATGGCGGAAGCGTTGGCGCAGGGGAGAAGAAACGGAGGGAGGCGGATGACGCAGTGGGGGAAAAAAGTGGGGGAGTGGGGGGAGGAGAAGGGGGAGGAGATGCCGGCAATTATCTGATAGACCCGGGAGACGGCACTAGCGGGGACCGCGCGGAATTCGCACCCGCGGAGCTCTTCACCGCGCGGAACTTCCCCGTGAGGCTGCCGCGGCGGAAGGGGAGGCGGAGAAAGGGCGATCGGGAGGAGGATGTGGGAGGAAAGACGAACCCAGGCACGGTGGAAGGCGGTTCGGTGGGGCAAGATTCTTGGGTGCTCCCAGTAACGGGGGATGGTTTTCCTATGACACCGTACCAAGATGTGATTGAAGCGGGGGAGAAGAACGTGGACTGTCCGTACCGGTCGCGCGGCGCGGGAGAGAATCTGTACAGATGCGCCATGGGTTACGCCGCACTTGCCGGCGTGACTGGCGGGCTGGGGAAGCCGGTTTATGTGGTTACCAGTGACGTGGATAGGGCCGAGGACGTTCCGGAAGGCTCGCTAAGATGGGGTTTAAGTAATTATCCTGAGGGTGTGATTATACGCTTTAATAGCTCGATGCTGATTAGGTTACAGAAGCGGCTGTTTCTGCAGTCGCACGTGACGATCGACGGTCGCGGCGCGAATGTGATTATACGCGGAGGCATGGTTCTGCAGAACATCACGAATGTGATCATACACAACGTGGCGAGTGAGTGTAACGGTTGAGAGCGATAGCGGGCGAGGCGAGGGGGAGAGGCGAGGGGGGGTAGGGGGGGGGGTGGCGAGGAAGTGGGGAGAGGGTTGTTGTTTGGTGGAGCTTGTGTATAGACGGAGCGCGGAATTGAGCAGGGGAGGATGGGAGCGGGAAATTCTCGAGGTTGAGCGGTTTGGCGTCATGGTATTTTCGTCGAGGGGTTTGGCGAAGGAACACGGAAGTCAGGGGAACGTTTTTCTTACGTTTTTCCGCAGAGGGTTTACGAGTCTAGTGGCGGACGAGGTATGCGCGCAGTCTCGCGCACCGCGTCCCCTCCCCTCCTCCTCCCCTCTCCTCCCCCCCCCACCTCCTCCCCCCCCCCCCCGCTTCACCAGCCCCCCTCCCCCCACCCGCCCCCCCTCCCCGCAATCGCTAACTGCATCATCCGCTTCCCCCGCTGTTCTGGCGTTCCGCCATCTCCTTGGCAGTCCGAGACCAGCGCAACGATGCGCGTCGCGTGTCGATGCAGTCGGCGATCATGACATGTTGTTGCACATCCCAATGAGTCGGCCTCGAAGTCCCCCTCTCCCTTTCATACCCCCCATCTTCCTCGCTTTTCCCCAAACCCCCATGAGTCGACCAGCGCGGCAACCACGACGTGGTGCACATTGCAATGGGCTGACCCCGAAATCCCCCTTCTCTCCATCCACCTCCCTCCCCCTCTCCCCCCCAACCCGCACAGTCGGCGACCAGCGCGGTGACCATGTGGTGCCGCACGACAAAATGGCCCGATCCCAACATCCCCTTCCCTCCCACACACCCCCCGTTCTCCCCCCTGCAGTCGGCGATCAGCGCGGGGATCACGACGTGGTGCACATTGCAGGCACGACGCGCGTGTGGGTGGACCACTGCCAGGTGTACAAGGCCATACGCGGTACAGTGGACGCCGTTTACGGCTCAACGGACATCACCATCAGCAATTCGTATATTAGCAACCGGTAAGTAGCGCCTCATACATATTTCCGTACATGTACATGTACTGTACACATATACATGCACACACGTACCTCCACAATGCTGCTATTGCCTGGGTTGCCAGAAGTAGCTGCTCACCTGCTCCCCTCTCACCCACCCTCCCTCATCATGCTTCCAGGAGCAGATGGCGATGGCGTATACGGCGTGGACATGATGGTCTCTGATGTGTGATGCTGCCCCCCTGCCTTCCACTCGTGTGCCCGAGCAGCAACCTCACCATGCTGCTAGGAGCAGAAGACGACGGGGTATGCAACGTGGACGTGCAAGTAACGATCTACCCCCCCCCCCCCCCCCACCCCCCCCCCCCCCCTCCCCCTCCCCCCCCCCCTCCTTTCCTCTTTTCCCCCTTCATATACACCCATTCCCCTGCTGGCTCTACTCCGCCCCTTCCCACCCTCACAGCAACCTCACCATGCTGCTGGCCGCAGTTGTCGACGGGGTATACGACATGAGGGTAACCTCTACCCCTCACCCTTCAACCACCACCCCCCACATATACCCATTCCCCTGCCTCCACTCCCCTACCTTCCCACCCTCACAGCAACCTCACCATGCTGCTGGGTGCAGAGGACGATGGGGTATACGACGTGGACATGCGGGTAACGCGCTACCGCAACTGGTTTGACAAGTCAGGGCAACGGCAGCCCAAGGCACGGTGGGGGAGGGAAGGGTCCACGTGGCCAACAGCCTCCACATCTAACTGCACCTGTACTCCTGCCTCTGCGGTCGTATGACATCTTCTCACCTCTCTACCTCCCTCTCCCCCACCTTCTTCCCCTCATGTGCCCATCCTCACAGCAACCTCACCATGCTGCTGGGTGCGGAGGACGACGGGGTGTACGACGTGGACATGCGGGTGACCCTCTACCGCAACTGGTTTGACAAGTCGGGGCAGCGGCAGCCCAAGGCGCGGTGGGGCAAGGTCCACGTGGCCAACAGCCTCTACTCCAAGTGGTCCTATTACTGCCTCGGCGGCCGTATGTACGCTGCAATTCGCTCCGACCGTAATATCTTTATCGCTGGAGACGCGCGAAAAGAACTCACCCCGTGGTTTGGGGAACGCGCCCTTTGGACGGAGGGGTTTGATACGACTCCCGTGATCCGGTCGTTTGGGGATTTGCTGGTCAATGGAGCGACTTTTACCGAGTTTAACGCGGATTTGTCGATTTTCGACCCGCCGTATCGGCTGCCGATGCACACTGCGGATAGAGAGCTTGCGCACTTTATACGCGTTAATGCAGGGCCTAGAAACGGGGATGTTCCTGAGCTGCCGTGCACGCCTCAAACCTGCTTCCAGTGAGGCTGTAGCAGAGTGGAGAGGGGTTGAATGGGTGCAGGGATGAATGGATGTAGGGATAGAGGGATAAAGAGATACAGCTGCCCTCTTTGTTTTGTACCATGTCCCATCCAGTACTCATGTGAAGCTGGGAATAAATGAATGCCACGCCTGGTGGTCTTTCTGTATGGCTGCTTTTGCTGGTTCTGGTTGTTGTAGCACCTTGTAAAGAGTACAGCAAATCTGGCGTCTTCTCTCAAATGAGACTGATGTAGCTGCTGCAAAGCTGTTTCTTCTCTGGCAAAGGCTGCCTGCCAAGTACCGGTGCCATACCATTTCCACTCCCTTGTGAATCAACCATTTCTTGAGCCCCGCCAATGACACCAGAATCCGAACTGCTACAGTACAGCACAGTACAGCACAGGCCGGCCGGACAGGCAGACAGCACCTCCTACCCTGACCAATCCAGCCCATTGGCTCTTGTGATTATATCATCTCATTGGAACAGAAACTTCACAGTATAACATCTACAATTCCCAACAAAAGCTCCACAACTCTGAACCACAACCCCAGCCTACCATACTTCACCCAGGCCTTCTGCTTCCGTCCAAAGATCAATTTCTGAGTCGACTCCAAGATCACATTCCTTTGATTGGATCAATCATCCCAAATCAACCAACTCCGATCAGTTTGTTTTCTTTTCCACCTTGGCAGCATCTGAGCCAGCCTTGATCGTCGCCTGCTTGAGTTTTTTCTTTGAGCTGCCCCCCTCGCCGGGCAGGCAGAGGAAAGCCAGCAGAAGGCCGATGAGGAAGGCGGGCTGGATGGACGGTGGTTGCACCTAGGAGGAACAAAGGGGATGAGAAGGAGGGGTAGAGACGTGCTTTGAGGCGGCTGAAAAGGTTAGAGGGGGTTGAGAGGAGGGGACCGATAAGGAAGGCGGGCTGGATGGATGGTGGTTGCACCTAGGAGGAACAAGGGGGGTGGGAGGAGGGAGTTCGAAGGGGTCAGGGGGGTGGGAGGAGGGAAGGGGTAGAGATGAGTTTTAAAACGCCTTAAAATATGACAGCAGCAGGGTAATGAAACAACCTGGGCTGGATGGCAGGTGGTTGCACCTTGGAGGGCCAGGGGGAGGAGGGGGGTCAGGAGGAGTAGTAACGAGATTTGAAATGCCTCAAAACATGGCAGAAGCAGGTTGATGACAGAAGGCGGGCTGGATGGCAGGTGGTTGCACCTCGGAGGGCCAGGGGGCGGAGGCATGTAGGGGAGGAGGCATGTAGGGGAGGAGGCATGTGGGGGAGGAGGCATGTGGGGGAGGAGGCATGTGGGGGAGGAGGCATGTGGGGGAGGAGGCATGTGGGGGAGGAGGCATGTGGGGGAGGAGGCATGGGGGAGGAGGCATGTGGGGAGGAGGCATGTGGGGGAGGAGGCATGTGGGGGAGGAGCACAGAGCTTAAAATACTAGATCGATACAAAAGAAAAAAAACAAAGAAACAGGTACAGAGGCGAGTTTCTGAGTGTATTTGATAAGGGGCCTTGTCAAGACACGAATTCGTGTATACAGAGGCGACTTTTGAGGCACCTTGAAGCTGACAGTGGGCTCAATGGAGGCTGGAAATTAACCTTGACGAGGCCACAGTCCCTCGGTGGCGTGAGGGTACCTTGGATGGGTCGGGAAGGTACCTTGGATGGGTCGGGAAGGTACCTTGGATGGGTCGGGGTAGGTGTGAGGGAGCAATATGGGGCGCAGCAGCCCCCAGAGCAGCAGCAGGTAGCCCAGCAGCGGCATGCGGGCCGCTCTGAACTGGGCTGCTATGGCTCCCCCCACCGCGAAATAGCTGCCCACCACCAGCTGGGGAGGGGGGCAGAGGAAGGGAGGGGGTCAGGAGAGGGTTGTTGAGGTGCACTTTAGAAGCAGCAGGGTGACTTCTGAGTCGACTCAAAAGGGGTCAAAAGAGGGTTGTTGAGGTCGACTTTAGAAGCAGCAGCAGCCTCCAGAGCAGCAGAAGGAAGCCCAGCAGTGATTTCAAGCTCTTATCTTCAGCAGTGATTTCAAACTCTTATCGTCAGCACTGATTTCAAACCCTGATTAGAGCCTCAACCAGAACAGAAACCCAGAATCCTAATCTTCTCACCTCAAGGGGCAGCAGAGGCAAGCCGGGGTCAGCGGGATCCTCTGGCCCAACAAAGGGCTTCTCGTACTGCTCTTTGTCAAAGGGCTTCTCGTACTGCTCTTTGTCAAAGGGCTTCTCGTACTGCTCTTTGTCAAAGGGCTTCTCGTACTGCTCTTTGTCAAAGGGCTTCTCGTACTGCTCTTTGTCAAAGGGCTTCTCGTACTGCTCTTTGTCAAAGGGCTTCTCGTACTGCTCTTTGTCAAAGGGCTTCTCGTACTGCTCTTTGTCAAAGGGCTTCTCGTACTGCTCTTTGTCAAAGGGCCCCAGAGGTACTGCCTGCCACGATGGCAACCGCTGCCACAAACGTCGCAGCCCAATTCCTCCTGCTTATTTCATAACCCAACCCTGAACCCAAACCCAAGTTTCAACCCCAAACCCAAATTTCAACCCCAAACCCAAGTTTCAACAACGAACCCAATGTTTCAACAACGAACCCAATGTTTCAACAACGAACCCAATGTTTCAACAACGAACCCAATGTTTCAACAACGAACCCAATGTTTCAACAACGAACCCAATGTTTCAACAACGAACCCAATGTTTCAACAACGAACCCAATGTTTCAACAACGAACCCAAGTTTCAACAACGAACCCAATGTTTCAACAACGAACCCAATGTTTCAACAACGAACCCAATGTTTCAACAATGAACCCAATGTTTCAACAACGAACCCAATGTTTCAACAACGAACCCAATGTTTCAACAACGAACCCAATGTTTCAACAACGAACCCAATGTTTCAACAACGAACCCAATGTTTCAACAACGAACCCAATGTTTCAACAACGAAACCAATGTTTCAACAACGAACCCAATGTTTCAACAACGAACCCAATGTTTCAACAACGAACCCAATGTTTAACCCCGAACTTTAGTCCCCTCACCTCAAGGCGCAGCAGAGGCAAGCCAGGGTCAGTGGGATCCTCTGGGCCGTCAAACGCCCTCTCATACTGCTCCAACACAGACTGCTCCAGGCTGCTGCTGCTGTTCAACCCTGAACCCAAAACGCCTACCCCAAACCCAAATTCCCTCACCTCAAGGCGCAGTAGGGGCAGACCGGGGTCAGTGGGATCTTCTGGCCCATCAAACGCCCTTGCGTACTGCTCCTGAAAAGACTGGCCCAGGGTGCTGCTGCTGTTCAACCCTGAACCCCAAACCGCCTACCCCAAACCCAAATTCCCTCACCTCAAGGCGCAGTAGGGGCAGACCGGGGTCAGTGGGATCCTTGGGACCATCGAACGCCCTCTCGTACTGCTCCAGCACAGAGTGCCGCAGGGGTAATACTACAGCTCCAGGGGGTGCTGCAGCTGAACCCTGAACCCTAAACTCTTCATCCCAACCCCAAACCCGAACCCGAACCGCCTCACCTCAAGGCGCAGCAGAGGCAGGCCGGGGTCGGTGGGATCCTCTGGACCATCGAACGCCCTCTCATACTGCTCCAGCACGGAGTGCCACGCTGGCAGGCGCATCACCGCCGCCACGTCACCGTCCAGCAGGGCGACGCCCATGTGGCGCGCCACCTCACCGGGGTAGACGACGGCGGAGAGGAGGACAGGTGGCAGCCAGATGGGGTGGCAGAGCTGTGTGATGACGACAGCAATGGGTGAGTCCACCTGGCGGTTGGATATTGTTATGCTGGCAGCATGGATCAACAGCAGGACGGGAAGGGGAGGGGAACGCAGGGGAAGGGGAAGGGGAGGGGAGGGGGAGGGGAGGGGGAGGGGGAGGGGGAGGGGGAGGGGGAGGGGGAGGGGGAGGGGGAGGGGGAGGGGGAGGGGGAGGGGGAGGGGGAGGGGGAGGGGGAGGGGGAGGGGGAGGGGGAGGGGGAGGGGGAGGGGGAGGGGGAGGGGGAGGGGGAGGGGGAGGGGGAGGGGGAGGGGGAGGGGGAGGGGGAGGGGGAGGGGGAGGGGGAGGGGGAGGGGGAGGGGGAGGGGGAGGGGGAGGGGGATGGGGAGGGGGAGGGGGAGGGGGAGGGGGAGGGGGAGGGGGAGGGGGAGGAGGAGGGGGAGGGGGAGGGGGAGGGGGAGGGGGAGGGGGAGGGGGAAGGGGAGGGAAAAGCAGGGGGGAACGGGGAGGGAGGAGTGGGGATGCATGGCAGGAGTGAAGAGGCAGTGCTGTGTGATGACCACTGCTATGGGTGAATCCACCCCGGTTCGATATGGTTATGTTGCCAGCATGGCACAACAGGACGTGGGGAAGGGAGTGCGTAGCGAAGAGTGTGGGGCGAGGGAGAAAACGTGAGGGTGTTGGAGGATAGGGTGAGGGTGGCTGAGGGGGGAAACGGATGAGGGAGGGGAGGAGGACAGGTGGCAGGAATATGATGTGCCAGAGCTTCGTGATAACGACGGCGATGGGCGAATTAACCCCGCGCTTGAGTATGGCGTGCTGACTTCGAAACCGAAACGTGGGGACGAGACTCGGGGGTTCGGGACGAGGGGAGATGGTTTGTGCGGGACGCCGGGGGGGTTGGGGGAGGGGGCGCGGACTGAAAGTGCGACTGAGGAAAGGAGATTGAATCAGTCGAGCAGTCGGCACGAAGCTAAGTGGAACAAGGGCTCACACGAATCAAGAAAGTAGAGATTTTAGGAGTTCCCTGAAAAAGAGGCGGTTTGGATGGAAACGCAATTAACGATTTGCCCTGACAGGAGGTTCTCCTGAAGAGCGACACATGACATAGAACCTACCTGAAGAGAGGTGCTAGACATGGGGATTATCACCTGAAGGAGCACGATGGATCTGCCTGAAATGCGGCACTTGACACTTGGATCCACCTGAAAGCAGTACTACACCTGAAGAGCGGTACTTGTAGTATGACCAGCAGCAGCAGCGCCTGCGGAGCGAACTTCTTCAATCTGTTCCATGCCACCCCCATGATGTCTCCTCTGCCTCCTCTACCTCCGCTGCCTCCTCGTTGCAATAAAAGGCGGTTCTTTGCGATGCTGTGTCGAAAATGCTAGAGAACGCTAAATTTGAAGTGTATCGCCCGTTGGAGGAAAAGGATTGTTTGCTGTGTGAGAACTGCTTATAAGATGGGTACTTCAATCCAGTATGGGAGCGATCGGTGGAAAAATGACCAGAGGGAGGGATTGGAGAATAGATGGTCTACGTCCTAAACGAATGAGGGAAATGCAGGATCGAGGCTGAAACAAAGCGATGAAAGAGCGGACGGGAACGGTGACTGGAGCTAAAAAGTTTCACTTCCAATCTCTCGCTCTCCTTTTCGTACGCTCCTTCTTTGTCTTCTACTCCCTAGATTCTTCAATATGTGGTCTCAACGGAATATTCGAATTCCGCGGCAGTTGAAGGCTTGCAGTTGCGTTTGAATCCCAATCTGACACCGTGGCAACACCCCCGCCAGCGCGCGCTTCTCGATACTAGTGAGGTGAGGACAAAGAGCAGCGAAGGTGCTTCCAAGGCGCCTTACAAATATCACATACCGTAGCATTTTCAGCAGGTCATTTTACACTTAGTAATCCTTCTCACACATGAATTCCAGTTAATACATGAGAGTGGATTAAACAGAATAAAAAAGATATATTGGGATAATGTGAAGATTTTTTAGTTAGATTTTAAGAAAAAACACGTATCGTAATTTTCTGTTATGTAAACATAAGAACATCTTCATTCGGAACTCTGCAATTGAGAACGCTATACGGTCTTTATCGAATCATACAATAACTTTGTGTTCTTTCTGGTGTACGCGATCCCAGGTTTTCGCGCCAGAATTGCGTGTGCCTGACACCATTCTGCGACGAAAATAACCATCCCATCTTGACACCGTCAAGTTGATAGTTGACTTGACTGGTTCTCACGCATCGAGGTGCCATTAGCTTGTGACTATTTTACGCCTGTTTCTGGAGCCTCGACATTTCAAAAACGGTAGTTATATTTTCCCGTCAAAGAATCTTCTTGGCCTATTTTAAAAATGGATGACTCCTTAAGACCCAAAGACTTTCGAGAGCTAGTTCAGAGAGTGACAACGAGGTGTCGAGATACGTGCAGCCAGCATGCGGCGGAGCTTTTGGGCGAGCAAGATAAGTCTTCGAATGTTATACCTAAGGCAGCGCAGATCGAGCTGAAGCAGCTCTCGTCACGCCTAACTTCTGCCATAGACTCCGTCGCTTCTGCTACGAAAGATCAAGGTCTACAGGAAACAGCTTTTTCGGGCCCCGACGACAACCAGCTTTTAGGTAAGCTAGTAGCGGAGGCGAACAGTTTAGTTCCTTATCATGGATGAATTGTACTCACTTTGATTCACTCTGTGCTGGTCTGTGGTTGTACGCAGCGTTATCCAAGGCGCAGGCGGAGGCTCTTGAGTCAGAAATAAAGGAGCTGGCTGTATTAGTAAAGCAGCGACGGACGAAGGTTCTGGAGAAGGTCCGAAATAAGCTGGGAATTAAGCTGGAACGATTGAAGAAGTCACAGAAGATAAGGAAACCGTGTGGTGCTGTAGCTGCGAAATGTACACAAGGTATTTTTGTAATTCTGACCGTTTTTTCGTTCTTCATTGCTCTTGCTCTTCAGAATCACGTTTCAGCTTCTAATGCGCTAATGCTTTTCTGTATATCATGCCAGCGACGAGCGCGATTCGATTGCGTATGCAGTCCCTTCTGGAACAAGGTGAGGAGACGACGACCATGGTTTCAGAGGTTGCTAAGAAGGCTGGTTCTGTGGCGTCCCGGTTACATAACCTAATAACATCAGCCAAGACTGAAGCAGCACGGATACCATCAACTAAGGAGAGGCTAATTGGGGAAGAGATAGCTAAGGAGAAAAGCTGCAAGCAATGAGCAGTTTTAACAGAACAGGTATATGGAGTGGGATTGGAGTTGCAGGGATTGTACAGACTGGTAGAAGCTAGCAGGTTTTGAAATCTACCGTAGCATGCTGGAACGCCTTCAGGCTTCAGTAGTAGGGTTCTTTGCAACCATATGCTGGCAGGTTATCATTTAATGTTGGCCAGGAAAGCTAGGGTGAAATAGGTTGGCTCTCAAGTTTATTACTATGCTTAGTCTTGAATGCACATTTTTTTCGAGTTTGCCTGCTCCCTAGTTATTGTGATATCTTCAAGATATACTCTCGGGTGTACAATAGTTAACAAAAATATGACAGATCACCTTTCTGTTGACGAGTATATTTGAGCAGCAGCCAACTCTAGCAAAGCCACGTCATGGCTGATTCCTAACCCAAGGAAACCCGAGGTTGCCAAGCTGGAACAAACTCGGAGATGAACCCAGGATACCAAAGATGATCCCAACCAACCCAAGGTGATCCACTGTCTCCTCTCGCATCTCCTTCCCCGTCCCCACTACTTTCAGCCAGTAGTAATCAATACTCCACTTCTGCCTCAATAGTGGTTTGGGAGGCCTTTTCTTGTCGACCGCAAGTGCCCGTTGCGACTCGACACGCGGGCCATGCTCGAGTCGCCGCTCTCCGCGGTGTCAGCTGCATCGGCTGCTGTTCCCGGACTTCCCGCGGAAACCGGGATGTTCCGATCCGCGCTACACGTGTCCGCACGGCAGCTCCGGACCGCGATTGGTGGAGCTGCTCGGCTTTCAAGCAGCCACGTCGGCAGGCAAGCCAACAACAAATAGCTGGACGTATAGTTTGGCTATAGTATGAAGATATCAGTATAAGCGGGAACAAGATACATTTACATTAGTTTACAATTCAGGCTACCTCCCTTTTACGGTTCACGCAAAGGTAATGTTATAGTCCATCGCCGCGCTATGATAGCCCGTTCGAGGCCTCACGCTCCTGCAGTTCTCGGTCCCTCCTTAGAGCTCACGTCGCTCGGATCCGCAACGTTTGCGACCGTCACGAGAGGTAGTTAGACGAATGCTCGACGACCGTCCTGCATTGGACGGTTAGTGAACGCGTTACGCGGCATTTCAGCGGGGAAGGCTACGTGCATCTGGGGTGTATTCTGAAGCTACGGCTTCCCGAGGTTCCTTTCCAACTTATAACTTTTTTTTTTGCAGTGCCTTGACAATGCGCATGTCGCAACCTACCTACTCCTGGTAAAAATTCGTCTTTCTCCATCCCCTCTCCTCCCCTTTTAATCCCCTGTCTGCCCTCAATTCCCTTCCCACCAGGCTCCCGCTTCCAGCCTCCGTCGTTCCCTTATCCGCCACCCGCCTCCCCCTGCACCCGCTTCCGCTCCTCTCCCGCGCCTCCCCTTCCGCTCTATCCGCCTCCGCTCGCCGTTTCCCCTCCCGCTTGTCCCCGCCGTACGGGGCAGGTCGGGCGCGGAGCGTCGCCGCGGCCTCCACAGCCGCGGATGGGTCCGACGCCGCGCCTGCAGTAGCTGTTGCTGCGGGCGAGGCGGAGCGCGTTAGCGGCGCTGGCGCCGCTGACGGTTCTGTGCCTGCAGAGGGAGGTGCTAAGGCGAAGGGGGGGAAGAAGGGCGCGCGGAAGGGGGGAAATGGCGCAACGTCTGGCGCAACTGCTGGTTCTGGAGGGGAGAGCGCGGGGGAGGATGACGTGGAGGTGGAGCTGCCACGTGAGCCGCTTCCGACCAATGAGAGCTCGGAGAAGCTGCTGCGGATCAGACACACGGTGAGTGGCGCGTGGGGCGAATGGGGCGTTTTAGGTGAGTTTCGCGTGAGATGAAGGGTGCTTGGGGTGAGTGGCTCGCGGGGTGAGCTAGACGCGGGACAAGTGGGGCGAGTGAGAGACTCGAGGGGTGTGCAGCTAGTTATTGGCAAGATAGGCGCTTGAGACGAGTGGGCCGTTGCGTCTGCCACCGTCTCTGCACCACCTTTGTTTCCTCCCCCTTCTCCCTCCTCTTCTCCCTTATCCATTTCGCCCGCTTCACCTCCCAGTTCGCTCACGTTCTTAGTAGAAGAAACACCCGAAGGTGTGTCTGTGATGGCGATGGCGGTGCAGAGGCTGTTTCCCAACACGCAGGCCTCTCTTCCCTTCTCTCTTTCCCCACACTCTTCCCTCTTTCTCCCCTCCCTCCAACCACCCCCACCACCCCCAAAACCCTAGCAGTCCGCGCACGTGATGGCGATGGCGGTGCAGCGCCTGTTCCCCAAGGCGCAGGTGACCATCAGGCCGTAGATTCAGAATCGACTCATTCCTTCCCTGTTCCCCCTTCCCCTTCCCCCTCCCCCTTTCCTCCCTCCCCCCAGTCCGCCCATGTGATGGCGATGGCGGTGCAGCGGCTGTTCCCCAAGGCGCAGGTGATGATAGGGCCGTGAATTCAGAATTCGACTCATCCGTTCCCCTTCCCCCCTCCCCGTTCCCTCTGCCCCACCCGTCCCTTCTTCTCCCCTCCCCGCCCCCCTCTCCAGTCCGCGCACGTGATGGCGATGGCGGTGCAGCGGTTGTTCCCCAAGGCGCAGGTGACAATCGGGCCGTGGATTCAGAACGGCTTCTACTACGACTTTGACCTCGACCAGCCGCTCACAGACAAGGATCTCAAGAAGATCAAGAAGGAGATGGTGGGTGGGTGCGACTGTAACGGTTAATGGGTGTGATTGTAACGAGTAGTGGGTGTAGATGATCGGGCCGTGGATTCAGAACGGCTTCTATTACGACTTTGACCTCGACCAGCCGCTCACTGACAAGGACCTCAAGAAGATCAAGAAGGAGATGGTGGGTGGGTGTGACTGTAACGAGTAGTGGGTGTGTCTTTGACGAGTAGAGGGTGTGAATGAGTAGAATTAAGGGTGCGTGAGACTTATGTGAAGTCAAGCTTCCTATGTCTGCACAACACTGACTTGTTTTAAACAATATCTTACTCTTCTTCCCTGATTTTTTTTCCTTTTTTTCTTTTCTTCTTATTTTCTTCCTCCCACCCACCCTCAGGACAAGATCATCTTCAAGAACCTTCCCTTGCGCCAGGAGGAGGTGTCAAGGGACGAGGCAGCCCTTCGGTTTGAGGCGAATGCATATTTGTTTTTCCGTTCCTTATCCCCCTCCCCCTGCCGCCCCCACCACCCTCAGGACAAGATCATCTTCAAGAACCTGCCCCTGCGCCGGGAGGAGGTGTTGAGGGAGGAGGCAGCACAGGCGAATGAGTCTATGTTTCTTCTACCTTTCCCCCCTCCCCCTGTCGCTCCCTCCACCCTCAGGACAAGATCATCTTCAAGAACCTGCCCCTGCGTCGGGAGGAGGTGTCGAGGGAGGAGGTGTCGAGGGAGGAGGTGTCGAGTGAGGAGGTGTGGAGGGAGGAGGCAAGGCGGCGCATCAAGTTGGTGCTTCTTCCTCCCAACCCTTCAATGGCACAAGAGCACGAAAGAATCCTTCCGTCTCCTTCCTTCCCCCCTTTACAGGACAAGATCATCTTCAAGAACCTGCCTCTGCGCCGCGAGGAGGTGTCACGGGAGGAGGCAGCGCGGCGCATCAAGGAGATCAACGAGCCGTACAAGCTGGAGCTGCTGGACAGCATCAAGACGGAGCCCATCACCATCTACCACATTGGTACGCTAGGCGTGTTAGGGTTGCGACCTGTACACATGGGCATGGGCGCATCAGGGAGATCAACAAGCCGTACAAGCTGGAGCTGCTGGATAGCATCAAGACTGAACCGATTATCGTCTACCACATCGGTGCGTTAGGCTCGTTTGATTAACCTGTCCTGACCGATCCACTCTAGCCCATCACCGTCTACCACATTGGTACGTGAGGGGTGGGATATGGGCATGGGCGCATCAGGGAGATGAACGAGCCGTACACGCTGGAGCTGCTGGACAGCATCAAGACCGAGCCCATCACCATCTACCACATCGGTATGTTAGGGTTTCTAGTCTTGGGTTGGGACATGGTCACATGGTCACATGGGCATGTGGGCATGAGCCATCAGGAGATCAACGAGCCGTACAAGCTGTGATACAAGCTGGTTCTTGAGGAAAAAAAAAAAAAACGGAGTCAACGAGTGCCACACGCTCGGATGGGTGGCTGCTGCTGGCACCTGAGTGACTCCCGGATGGGTGGCTGCTGGCACCTGAGTGACTCCCGGATGGGTGGCTGCTGGCACCTGAGTGACTCCCGGATGGGTGGCTGCTGGCACCTGAGTGACTCCCGGATGGGTGGCTGCTGGCACCTGAGTGACTCCCGGATGGGTGGCTGCTGGCACCTGAGTGACTCCCGGATGGGTGGCTGCTGGCACCTGAGTGACTCCCGGGGCTTTGAGCTGCCGTTTTTTTTGAGTCGACTCAAACGTTGGCTTTGAGCTGCCGTTTTTTTTGAGTCGACTCAAACGTTGGCTTTGAGCTGCCGTCTTTTTTGAGTCGACTCAAACGTTGGCTTTGAGCTGCCGTTTTTTTAGCCTTGGAACAGCCAGCCTCTCCCCTCCTCCTCTACCCATTCCTCTCCTCCCCCTTCCCTTCCTGATCCCCTCCACGTTCCCTCTTCCACAGGTGACGAGTGGTGGGATCTGTGCGCCGGGCCTCATGTGGAGAGCACAGGGAAACTGCCCCGCAGGGCGATCGAGCTGCAGTCAGTGGCAGGGGCGTACTGGCGGGGGGATGAGACGAGGGCCATGCTGCAGCGCATCTACGGCACGGCGTGGGAGAGCGAGGCGCAGCTGCTGCAGTACCGGCAGCAGGTGGAGGAGGCCAAGCGGAGGGACCACCGCCGGTTGGGGAAAGAACTCGGGCTGTTCTCCATCCAGGTGAGCTGCTGCTGCTGTGAGGTGTGCTGCCGGTACTGCAGCAGGTGGAGGAGGCCAAGCGGAGGGACCACCGGAGGTTGGGCAAGGAGCTTGGTCTCTTCTCCATCCAGGTACGCGCCTGCTGCTGCTGGTAGTGTCTGTATTGATTTTTTTAGGCCTTTGAGACACCTCAGAAGAAGGCGTGTGGACACTGGGAGTGGGGGGCGGGGCGAGGAGCCGAGGGCCTTGCTGGGGCTGCTTTTGAGTCGACTCAAAAGGGGCGAGGAGCCGAGGGCCTTGCTGGGGCTGGGGCTGTTATCTATCCAGCCAGGTAGGCGCCTCTGCTGTGTTTGGGTGGGGCAGCTACTATATGGGTGAGAGTGAGAGTGAGAGTGAGAGTGAGAGTGAGGGAGCAAGGGAGACAGGAGCGGAGCACGTGAGGCGGGGTGGGGTTATGCGACGAGTGGCTGTAGGCTCGCTGGAACAGGAGCTGAAGTGTCTCCCTTCCCACACACCCGTGTCTCCCTTCCCACACACCCGTGTCTCCCTTCCCACACACCCGTGTCTCCCTTCCCACACACCCGTGTCTCCCTTCCCACACACCCGTGTCTCCTTTCCCACACACCCGTGTCTCCCTTCCCACACACCCGTGTCTCCCTTTCCCACACACCCGTGTCTCCCTTCCCACACACCCGTGTCTCCCTTCCCACACACCCGTGTCTCCTTTCCCACACACCCGTGTCTCCCTTCCCACACACCCGTGTCTCCCTTCCCACACACCCGTGTCTCCTTTCCCACACACCCGTGTCTCCCTTCCCACACACCCGTGTCTCCCTTCCCACACACCCGTGTCTCCCTTCCCACACACCCGTGTCTCCTTTCCCACACACCCGTGTCTCCCTTCCCACACACCCGTGTCTCCCTTTCCCACACACCCGTGTCTCCCTTCCCACACACCCGTGTCTCCCTTTCCCACACACCCGTGTCTCCCTTCCCACACACCCGTGTCTCCCTTCCCACACACCCGTGTCTCCCTTTCCCACACACCCGTGTCTCCCTTCCCACACACCCGTGTCTCCCTTTCCCACACACCCGTGTCTCCCTTCCCACACACCCGTGTCTCCCTTCCCACACACCCGTGTCTCCCTTTCCCACACACCCGTGTCTCCCTTCCCACACACCCGTGTCTCCCTTCCCACACACCCGTGTCTCCCTTTCCCACACACCCGTGTCCTTACCCTGTCAAACCCTTCCATTGCAGGAGGACGCGGGTGGACGACTGGTGTTCTGGCACTCTCGGGGGGCGAGAGTGAGGGCGATGATAGAGGAGCGCGCGTTGGAGGAAGGAGCACCTGAGGCGGGGGTACGAGCTGAGCTGCGTCAACCCCTCCACTCATATGCTTTCGTTACCATGTGACACACCCATTCTCACAGGAGGATGCAGGTGGAGGACTGGTGTTCTGGCACCCTCGGGGGGCGAAGGTGAGAGCAATGATAGAGGAGCCTTGGAGGAAGGAGCACCTTCGGCGGGGGTATGAGCTGCTGTTGCCTCCCTTCTGACAACCCCTCTTTCCGCCTTTGTAACACCCTCTTGTTACAGGAGGACGCAGGGGGCGGACTGGTGTTCTGGCACCCTCGGGGGGCGAGAGTGAGAGCCATGATAGAGGAGCACTGGAGAAAGGAGCACCTGCGGCAGGGGTATGAGCTGCTGTACACGCCGCACATGGCCAAGCTGGACCTCTGGAAGACCAGCGGGCACTACGAGTTCTACCGGGAGAACATGTTTGACCAGGTGAGAGAGTGGCGTTGACCAGCGTTGACTGGCGTTGACTGGAGGAAGGAGCACCTGCGACGGGGGTATGAGCTGCTGTACACGCCACACATGGCCATGCTGGACCTCTGGAAGACCAGCGGACATTACGAGTTCTACCGGGAATACATGTTTGACCAGGTGAGCCTGGCGTTGCCCGCTTTGACTGGCGTTGACTGAGTGCGAAAGCGTCAGGTGATTCGGGCGTGAACGCAGTTAATATCGTGCACGCTCACACATTCACTCAGATGCCCGTTTGCCGTTCCCTTTCCCTCTCTCCCCAACCCCCCCCCCCCCCCCCCCCCCCCCCTCATTCCCCATACCTCCCCATCAGATGGAGGTGGAGGAGGAGCATTATCAGATCCGGCCCATGAACTGCCCCTTCCACATCCCTCCCTCCCGCCTCCTTCTCCCCAACCCTTCCCTCCATCGGCCCCTCCCCTTTCCCCCCTCCCTGTCCTCAGATGGAGGTGGAGGAGGAGCATTATCAGATCCGCCCCATGAACTGCCCCTTCCACATCATGCTCTACAACGACTCGCTGCACTCCTACCGCGATCTCCCCATCAGGTCAGCGCAACCTCCCCATCATCAGGTGCGACCGCCCCATGAACTGCCCCTTCCACATCATGCTCTACAACGACTCGCTGCACTCCTACCGTGATCTCCCCATCAGGTCAGCGCAACCTCCCCATCATCAGGTGCGACCGCCCCATGAACTGCCCCTTCCACATCATGCTCTACAACGACTCGCTACACTCCTACCGCGATCTCCCCATCAGGTCAGCGCAACCTCCCCATCATCAGGTGCGACCGCCCCATGAACTGCCCCTTCCACATCATGCTCTACAACGACTCGCTGCACTCCTACCGTGATCTCCCCATCAGGTCAGCGCAACCTCCCCATCATCAGGTGCGACCGCCCCATGAACTGCCCCTTCCACATCATGCTCTACAACGACTCGCTGCACTCCTACCGTGATCTCCCCATCAGGTCAGTGCAACCTCCCCATCATCAGGTGCGACCGCCCCATGAACTGCCCCTTCCACATCATGCTCTACAACGACTCGCTGCACTCCTACCGTGATCTCCCCATCAGGTCAGCGCAACCTCCCCATCATCAGGTGCGACCGCCCCATGAACTGCCCCTGCCACATCATGCTCTACAACGACTCGCTGCACTCCTACCGTGACCTGCCCATCAGGTGGGTTCCACCCCCCCATGCCATGCTATGCCATGCTGTGCCATGCCATTCCATGTTATGCCATTCCATGCCATGCTATGCCATGCCATTCCATGTTATGCCATTCCATGCCATGCTATGCCATGCCATTCCATGTTATGCCATTCCATGCCATGCCATGCCAGCGCACCCTGTCCTCCTCTCTATTCCACACCCCACATTTCATCCTCACACCATCCATTACACCCCCATCCCATGCCATCCACGGCTATGACCGTTGTAGACTTGAGGCCTATTCATCTCTTCCCCCCCATCGACCTCCCACACCCCATCCTCTTGTCCTCACCCCCGAATTCCCCCCACAGGTGGGCGGAGTTGGGCACAGTGTACCTCTATGAGCGGTACCGCAAGGAGCGGGCGGGCACGATGCATGGGCTCTTCCTCTGTTCTTCCCGCACCTCTCTCGTTCTTATTCCTCCCCCCAACACCCTCCCACACCCCCCACAGGTGGGCCGAGTTGGGCACAGTGTACCGCTATGAGCGTTCGGGTACAATGCATGGGCTCTTCCGCGTACGCGGATTCACCCAGGTGGGTGGGCGCTGTGGGGGGAGGGGGGGCGGGGGGGTGGCTGTTGAGAATTCTTTTGAGGCGCCTCAACAGGCGTTCGGGTACAATGCATGGGCTCTTCCGCGTACGCGGATTCACCCAGGTGCGTGGGCGCTGAGGTTACCTTATGAAAACTCTCACAGGCCATTTGGCTGCAGTCATACAGTTGGTTATTCAGGTGTGATCACTCAGGTGATCATCCAGCTGTTTATTCGGGTGGTCGTTCATGTGATTGTGGCGACCTTTCAGGTGATCACTCAGGTGATCATTCATGTGCGCACTGCCCCAGTGAACGTTACCAAGTGTGTAGTTGCTGCCTTGAGCCACTTCCACCTGTTGCAAGTATCCGTGCCTTGCCTTGTGAGCCCTTTCACATTTGGGAGAAGTTCCAGGGGGTGCTTGCTGGACCTCGCAGAGACAAAGCTGAAACGAAGCACATTTGCCCCTTGAAACGAAGCACCTTCTATCCCATGCACCCCACTTCCCCCACACACACTTCATCCCTCAAACCCGCTTCTCCCCCGCCCCCACCCCCCCCCCACTGGATGACGCGCGCATATTCCGCCTGCCGTCTCAAATTCGCAACGAGATTCGCGGGGTGCTGGACCTCACAGAGGCCATGCTGACGGACTTGGCTTCCACACGCACACACACACACACACGCACGCACACACACACACACACACACACACACACACACACACACACACACACACACACACACACACACACACACACACACACACACACACACACACACACACACACACACGCACATGCCCATCCTGCATGCCCCACCCGCCCCGCTCCCCCCGCACAGGACGACGCGCACAACTTCTGCCTGCCATCGCAGATCAGGGACGAGATCCGAGGGGTATTGGACCTCACCGAGGCGATGCTGACGGACTTTGGCTTCCACACGCACACATACAGACACAAACGCCCATCCTTCATGCCCCACCCGCCCCGCTCCCCACCTGCACAGGATGACGCGCACATCTTCTGTCTGCCCTCTCAGATCAGGGACGAGATCCGAGGGGTATTGGACCTCACAGAGGCGATGCTGACGGACTTTGGCTTCCAGCAGCTGGAGATCAACCTCTCCACACGCCCGGAGAAATCTGTTGGAGATGACGCCATTTGGGAGCAGGCTACTCAGGTGTGTGTGTGGGTGTGCTTCCCCCCATGGATGCTGCCTGGTGTAGTGCCATGTGGACCTCACAGAGGCCATGCTGACGGACTTTGGCTTCCAGCAGCTCTAAATCAACCTATCCACCCGGCCCGAGAAGTCCGTCGGGGATGACGCCATTTGGGAGCAGCAGGCCACGAACGAAGGCAGGTGGGGCAGGCACAGGCAAAGACACGCAGGTGTGCTCTTTGGCTTCCAGCAGCTGGACGTCAATCTCTCCACCCGCCCGGAGACGTCTGTTGGGGATGACGCCATCTGGGAGCAGGCCACGCAGGTACGGGGGCTTATGACAGCAGGCAGGCCACTCGGGTAGGGGAGGGCAGGCACAAGGGGTGTGCTCTTTGGCTTCCAGCAGCTGGACATCAACCTCTCCACCCGGCCAGAGAAGTCTGTCGGGGATGACGCCATTTGGGAGCAGGCTACCCAGGTGTGTGTGTGGGTGTACTTTCCCCATGGTTGCTGCCTGGTGTAGTGCCATGTGGACCTGGCAGAGGAGAATGCTGACGGACTTTGGCTTCCAGCAGCTGGACATCAACCTCTCCACCCGGCCCGAGAAGTCTGTTGGGGATGACGCCATTTGGGAGCAGGCCTCGCAGGTAAGGGGGTTACAGCAGGCTGCACATGTGAAGGGGGGAGGTTGGGGGGTGGGAGGGGAGGCACGTGGAGAGGCATGTGTTTCCACGTCACTTGGCTTCCAGCAGCTGGAAATCAACCTCTCCACCTGGCCGGAGAAGTCTGTCGGGGATGACGCCATTTGGGAGCAGGCTACTCGGGTAGGGAGCTTATGACAGCAGGCAGGCCACTCGGGTAGGGGAGGGCAGGCACAAGGGGTGTGCTCTTTGGCTTCCAGCAGCTGGACATCAACCTCTCCACACGCCCTGAGAAATCCGTTGGGGATGACGCCATTTAAGAGCAGGCCACTCAGGTGAGGGGGTTATGACTGTAGGAGACACAGGTAGGGGGGGTTGGGATGGTACAAGCGGAGGAGGGAAACACGAGTGGAGGGAGAGGTATGTGGTGTTCCCACGTGTCTTAGCCTGTTCACCCGACCCGACAAGTCCGTTGGAGCTGATGCCATCGGGGAATTCATTCTAGTAGGGGGTATGACAGCAGGCTACATATGGGTGTGTGTGTGTGTGTATATGTGTGTGTGTGTGTGTGTGTGTGTGTGGGTGTGTGCGTGCGTGTGTGTGTTTGTGTGTGTGTGTGTGTGGGTGAGTGTGGGGGTCAGGCCCTGGTTCATTCCGTGGATGAGGTCCTGGGCATGCAATGTGCGGGAGTGTGGGTTGTGGCGTGTGTGCAAATGTGTTGACACACTGCTTTTGTCTTTCCTTCCCTATCACTTCAACAGGCGCTGAGGGAGGCGCTGCAAGACAAGGGGTGGGATTACACTGTGGATGAGGGTGGAGTGTGTGTGTGTGTATGATGCACATTCGCGTGTATGTATGTGTGTATATGCGTGTGCATCTCTGTGTGCGTTCTTTCCTTCTAAACCACTTCAACAGGCGCTGAGGGAGGCGCTGCAAGACAAGGGGTGGGATTGCACCGTGGACGAGGGTTGCATGTACGCATATCTGTGTGTTGATGTGCCTGTCCATCTGCGTGTATGTCCTTCCCTCAATCGCTTCAACAGGCGCTGAGGGAGGCGCTGCAAGACAAGGGGTGGGATTACACCGTGGACGAGGGTGGGGGAGCGTTTTACGGGCCCAAGATAGATGTGAAGATCATGGATGCCATTGGGCGCAAGTGGCAGTGCTCCACCATCCAGGTCCGCTCTGATTCACCATTCCATGTCTTCATGTCTCCACATCTCACGGCAAGGGAGTTATTTACGCCGTTGAATAAAAAGCAAGAACTTTACACCATTGGAAAAAAAAAAAAAACTTTACAACATTGAATAATAAATAAGAACTGCGTGACTCCCTTCCTCCAATAACCTTCTGCCAGGTGGACTTCAATCTGCCGCACCGCTTCAACATGGTTTATGCGGATGCGGACGGCACTCGCCGCCCGCCCATCATGATCCACCGCGCCATCTTTGGGTCCCTGGAGCGGTTCTTTGGCATTCTCATTGAGAACTATGCGGGCGACTTCCCCCTCTGGTTTGCGCCCACTCAGCTGCGCCTGCTGCCAGTCACAGACTCCGAGGTTCGAACTTCATTACCGTATCTGTTTTGATTGCACTTGGTTACGCGTTTATGTCGACCCCCCTCTCCCCCCCCCCCCCCCACCTCGTAACCCCCTCCCTTCCCCCCCTTTTCCTCCTTTGTGGAAGCCATCGACGCTTTTGTCACCTGAAAAGACATAGCAAACGAACACTAATCTTACTGTTCCCTGTGTGTTTGCAATGTCTTTTCAGGTGCCCTTCTGCAAGGAAGTGGTGGCCACCTTATTGGAGCGGGGCATTCGTGCTGAGGTGGCGAGCGGTGAGAGGCTGGGCAAGCTGATTCGCAATGCGGAGACACAGAAGATTCCGGTGATGGCTGTGGTTGGCCCCAGGGAGGTGGAGTCTCGGAGTCTCAATGTGCGTACGAGGAAGGGCGCCGAGCTGGGAGTCCTTTCTGTGGACCAAGTGGCGAGAAAGATTGAAGAAGCAGTAGCTAATAAGGGTTATTTGTGACACTGTTCCTTTTAATCATACGCTATATTGATTTTACTGAGACAAATTATCCAAGGAACTTCTCGTGGCTTTTTCAATTATTTTTGTAACATCCCACATTCACGTGAAATCGCAGCTACGTACGCCTTCACATCTTCGCCTCTGCTGATCATCCCCATTCACAGTAGTTAGCAGTCGCAGCACTTGCGTCCTATCTGGTCACTCGCAGCATCAACACCCTCGCCTGTCCTAATCTGGGCCGTGGTCCCTCGCTGCTGACCTATCTTTCTGCACTTGCTGCCCATCACTGCCAATCCCTGCTCACCCCTTCTCATCCCTTCTCAATCCCGCTCATCCCCGACCTCCCTCCCCTGCTCTGGGCTCACCTTGGGATGATCAAAGTCAGTTTCAGGCACAGAGCGGAACGTATGTATGCTCGAGGATTGTATTGTAATCTGAAGCAGTTCGTAGAAGGAAAAATCCCCCATTTCCACGGGATTGCTGTGCGTTGCACGGCTGTCTGGCACCATTCCACGATCTCGTTAGGCGGTACAACGGACGCAGTAGTACGGAGAGTGCGGGTGCTTAGTGAGCGTGTCTAGACCCTCTTTGTTGGAGCGTAGCTCGAGTTAGTCACGATGTCACTCGAGACTTATTGGGAGAACTTCCAGCAGGCGTTTTGGCAGATCTCACCGTATGCGTACGCCGCCATTGGTATCGCCATTTCTATTGGCGTTTCCGTCCTGGGTGCAGCATGGTAGGCAAGGCTACCGCTACGGATCTGCGGCACTCGTTTCGCAGCCGCACAGCCAGTCAGATATCTTATTTCATTTCTAATGGTTGTTTGCAGGGGAATCTTGATTACAGGAAGTAGTCTAATAGGCGCTGCCATTAAAGCTCCTCGGATCACGTCTAAGAACCTTATCAGGTAGGTGTTAGGATCTATTGTCTCGTCCGCCTCTCATTTTAGGGTTATGCTCCAATTTTTTCGCAATCTGTGTCCTAACATGTTTCATTGGTCTTCGTCCTTCGCCTCCCGTCAGCGTTATTTTCTGTGAGGCCGTGGCGATTTACGGCGTTATTGTTGCGATCATTCTGCAAACGAAGCTCGAATCCGTCGGCAAGGCCAGATTGCACTCGCCCGAAGCGCTCCGCTCTGGTTACGCTATATTCAACTCCGGAATCATCGTGGGTCTCGCGAACCTTTTCTGTGGGTAAGTCTCCATTTTCCAGACTGTGCGACCTAAATGGTCAACCACAAAATATGGCCTATCAGCACAAGCGCATTCGACTTGCTTCGCCACCCCTGGTCATTTGGGATCGGCTGGTCTGTTCATGTAATTTTACGAAGTCTGCGTGTGCAGGTTGTGTGTGGGCATTATCGGCAGCAGCTGTGCGTTGTCGGACGCGCAGAACTCGACGCTATTCGTGAAGATCCTCGTTATTGAGATCTTCGGTAGTGCGCTTGGGCTGTTCGGGGTCATCGTTGGTATTATCCTATCGTCTCAAGCAACATGGGCTTGAAACGTCTCCTCCACGCTCTTCAGGTCCGGCATATTAAAGGGTTCGCCTTATTCCAGATGTGCACTGCAGCTGATCATCTGTTGCCTTGAATTGTTGTTTTCGCTTCTTCGTTCCTTAAGTGTTTTCTTGTGTATTCTCCTATTTCCTCGTTTTGTATCCTCTTGGCCTCTGCATGCTGCCGTCATCCTCTCTCCTCCACGCCCCGTTCCCCGTTTCCCCGCCTCCCCTCTCCCGCTGTATGTCATTCGTGTCCTATACTCCGACCTTATCCTCCTGTCCCTTTCACTCTCCTTTGGCACGCTGGGTACATTCGTTGTTTTCCTCCTTTTTGGCTTGTGGTTTACAGGTTTCGTTGTACCTTCAGCTGTGGGGCCAATTGATACCGTAAGAAGGATGTGCTATGCGAAGACATGCATGGGATGGTCCGTGTGTAGCTGCTTGCTTCAACAGCATACCGTAATCTCTTATGGTAACCTGGCATCTTCACGATTTAGCTTTAGCGGATTAAGCACAGCATCAGATTGCACGGTGGTCAGGAAAGTCAAGGTTGTGTAAGGAACTGCTAAGTTGGCAAGACCAATGTGGACACTGTATGTTGATGATACGGTAAGTGCGTTACTGGGTGAGTAGAGCACTATTTTTTCTGTGAATTAAAGCTGCGGTATACATTTGGCAGGGCGAGTGCCAAAAGTTTACAAATGGTACATAGTGGTTACCGAATAACAAGCCCACCCAACCTCTCTCTCTCGAAACAAGCGGCCCCCAACTCCTCCCAGCTCGCCCGAATGCCACAAGTTTGTTGGACTGAGTGCCCCTTAGGATCTTTGGTAGAGTTGAACTCTGGGTAGAGTTGGTGTAGTAGCGGAAGCGTTTTAATAAATGAGTTTTGAACCACCTTGCGCTAGTATGTGAGGGCAAAGTAAGTTGATTAAAACAAAGAGATACAAGATTTTATATAAGATTACAACGAATACGAAGAGATGCGAATGATAACTGTTTTACTGTTGGCTGTTGCGGTTAGATACAGTGCGACTTGGGCAACTGCTCAATATCGAGTCAGTTGTGTGTCCTTGCTGTCGCGCTGCATTTGTCAAGTCAAAGGTCGCTGACCTTTGACCTTCGCGTTGTTGGGCTGAGAAAATAGCCCTTAGGATCTTTGCAGAGGAGAACTCTTGGGTAGAAAACTTGTAATAGCGGAAGCGTTTGATGAGGATTGTGAACCGACCTTGCACTGGTGTGTGAGAGCAAAGTAGATTGAATTAAACAAGCAAATACAAGGATTTATATAAGAGTACAGGGAATACGAATAGATAGGTAGATAACTGTATTGCTGTTGCGGTTCGATACAGTGCGACTCGGGCAACTGCTCTGTAACGAGTCAGTTGTGTGTCCTTAACTGTCGCGCTGTGATTGTCGAGTCAAAGGTCAGCGACCTTTGACTTTCTCGTAACCTCCAGGCGGTTACCCTAACCTCCGAGGTTGACTCGATGCTTCGATTGGGACTGCTTCGCTTGGTGCCTTGGGTTTTGATACGACAGAAGCGCACTTAGGACTTATTGTTTCCAACACTCCCCTTCGCTTCTGGAGTGTCGCTGCTGGTGACGTGGCCTTGTCCAGTCAGCATCATGCAGTATTCGAACTTCTGCTTTCCGAGTTTCTTGGTCAAGTAATCGGCTGCCATCTCGGATGTTGGGCAGTATGACAGATCGAGTTTCCCTTTTTCTATCTCGTCCTTCACGAAGAAATAGCGCAGGGCGATGTGTTTCGTCCTGTTTGCGAAGCCGTTTTTGTTGGCGATGCGAATTGCCGATTGGTTGTCGCAGAACACGGTGAAGCTGGGTAACTCGGCTAGTTTCGCTTCTTCCAGTAGTTCGCGAAGGTAAAGTCCCTCCTTGGTGGCTGAGCAGAGTGCGATATATTCTGCTTCTGCTGAAGATAGTGCGATTAACTCCTGCTTGCTTGACTGCCAGGAGATAGGACCGATAGGCTCAAGGCGGTAGACATAGCCGGTGCGTGAGCGCCTGTTGTCGGTGTCGCCGGCGTGATCGGCGTCGACGTAGCCGATTAGTTTGGTCGGTGTAGTCACGTTTTTGTGATAAGTTAGTCCGATCGTCGCGGTGCTGACGAAGTAGTGGAGAGCACGATCGAGTTCCGCCAGATGCTCTGCTTCAGGTCTCTTGAGATAGGTAGCGAGCTGACTCGCGGAGTAGGATAGGTCGGGACGGCACGTGACTGCTGCGAAAAGAAGGCATCCTAGCTTCTTCTGATAGTCGCGTATGCCGGCGGGTTTAAGTAGAGTAGATTGCCCCTTTTCGGTTCCTGACGCGTAGCGATAAGGCGTGGAGATGGCGCTTGGTGTGAGACGAAAGCGTTTCGCGATAGTGTCGGCGTACTTCTCGGCGCTTAGGTAGATTGCGTTTTCTTCCTCACGGATGTTGAGCCCGAGGTATTGCGTAACCGTAGAAGAGACCGTGAGCGTGAGGTCTTTCTGGAGCTCCCCTTCGAACCACGCGGCGATGTTGTCGGTTGACCCAATGTAGAGAAGATCGTCCACATAGACGATTAATAGGACGTAATCGCCTCCTTTTGTGAGGCGATACATGCCTTGGTCATGCGGGAGTTGTTTGAAGCCGATGCGAATGAGGCGGGCGTGTAGGTACTGCTGCCACAGTCGCGGTGCCTGCTTGATCCCATAGAGTGATTTGAGTAGTTGACACACTCGGTTGGGTTCGCCGTGGGAGCCGTGCGGGAGTTCAACGAAGATTTCTGCATCCACAGGTGCGTAGAGAAATGCGTTCGCAACGTCGATCTGTCGCAATTTCTTTTTCTTCATGGCGGCGACGGCGATGAGGATTCGGAGTGAGGTGTGGCGACTGACCGGAGCGAAGGTTTCGGTGTAATCTCTTCCGTGCTCCTGGTCGAAGCCACGTACGACCCAGCGGGCTTTGAATTTGTCGATGGTGCCATCAGCTTTCGTCTTCACACGGAAGACCCATTTTCCGGTAAGAATGTTTTTATTTTGAGTTACACCGATGGGAACAATTTTCCAGGTGTTGCGCTCCTCCAGTGCCTTCAGCTCTTTGTCCATAGCTTCACGCCATTTCTCCCTGTGTTCCCCCCCCAGAGCCTGCTGAACCGTCGCAGGCTCCTCAGGAATGCCGGCGCCATGGACTGCGGTGACGAGACCAAGGATTTGCAGCCCAGTCTGTGAGTATCGAGGGAGTTCTGGATCCTCGGGATAAGCTGCTTCGTCTCCCGTTTCTGGGTCGGGCATGAAATTTGGCCCTACCCTTTCTGCTTCGTTGGTGTTGACTGTCACAGGTGTTATGTAACCATCGTCGGCGAAACGGTAGAAGATTTCGGCGTTGTTACTGTCGCGAGGATTATCCTTATCCATGGGCACGTCGACGGAGCAGTATGGGAGAGGTCCGGCTTCTTCTGAGGCGTTGTCGACGTTCTGTTCATCCCAGTCTGCTTCGTCCGCTGCTGACGCGAAGGCTCGGTCACCACGAAAACCACTGGTGAGGTCCCGATTCTCGTGCAAGTTGGCGAGGTATGTCTGAAGGGTGAGTCTTTCGTAGAAGATCACGTCACGTGCTGCTACTGTTTCCTTTGTGTGGACGTCGAAGATTTTCCATGCGTTGTAATTTTTCTCGATGCCGAGGTGTAGTCCCCACTGTGCCCGTTGCGAAAATCTTCCCGCTCGTGCTTCTGGGGGTCTGTACTGTACCATGCACCCGAAAACTCGTAACATTTTCGTGCTGCCCTGCTTCCCTGTCCACAGCAGATGCGGTGATGCGTTGTTCGGGAGTGACGACGACGACAACAAGTTGTGCAGCATGACAGCGTGGTCCATTGCTGCTGGCCACTGGTGGTTGGGTAGCCGCATGCCACGTAACAGTTTGCGCATGCTGTTCTGCAGGGTCCTGTTCAGTCGTTCTGCAACACCTTGCTGCTGATGTGCGTAGGGAAGGGAGAGGAGTTGCTTGATCCCCCTTTCCGCCAAGAACTGCTTGAAGCGCTGAGAGGTGTACTCGCCACCTCCGTCTGACTGGAAATTTTTCAGTTGTGTTCCGGACTCTCTCTCTGCTATCGGTAGCCAGGCGGCGAATGCTGCGAGCGCCATGTCGCGGCTGGGTAGGTTGCGATGCCAGACGTATCGAGTAGCAGCGTCGATGAAGGTGATGGTGTAGTTGTAGTTGACTTGTCCTGGTTCGCGATTGTAGAGGATGTCGCTGTAGACTTTTTCGAGTGGTGCGTACGCTGGAGCGCTCGGGTTGTGATGTGAAGCAAACGGTCGATGAGGTAAGTCAGCTTCGGGACATATAAGGCAAGTCCCTCGTGCCTTCTGGAGTTCTCTGCCATCGGGTAGAAGTAGAGAGTCTTTGTCGAGGACTCCTGCTCTTATCGTGTTATTCAAAACTGTGTTGCTTGGATGTCCTGTGCGTGCGTGCCAGATCTCTTCAGAGGCGCGGTGTCCGGGTGAACGCTGATATGCGTCGGAGTTGGAGTAAAAGCTGGCGACGAGGTTGGCGCTTCGGTGGACTTCACGCTGAGTCGGATTCAGCTGTTGCGCGAGTGTTGGTGGTGCTTCGTCGACTGTGACTGGTGTCGTTGTTCCTGCTGCTGCTGATGTTGTTGCTGCTGCCGATGTTGTTGCTGCTGTCGATATTGTTGCTGCTGTCGATGTTGTTGCTGCTGCCGATGTTGTTGTCTCTGCTTCTTGTTGAATTGTTGCTAACGCTCTTGTTCGTTCTGCTTCAGGGATAGTGTGGGAGTACCAGAAACCTCCCGGGCTGAAGTCGGGATCGAGATCCGGAGGGTGTGTCCATTCAGCAAAGTTCACAATGGCGTCGCTGTCTGCAGTGCCGAGGTCGGGAGCGAAGTCGAGGACGAAGACGTTGTTCTTCAGCACTGCTTTCCCGATGTAGAGACCGCCTCTTCCGTGGTAAAGCTTGAACTCCTGGGTCGTGCTGTCGGCTTCCAGATGAATTCCTTTC